TATATTTTGCATGTAATATGTTGTAAAAATAAAAATTTATTATATAAGGTTATTGACCGTATAAATTATAAATATCTATTACCTATATTATTATCAAAAAAACATGGCCTTAAGAGAAGAAGAGCAAATCAACCAATAACTAAATGAAGATAAAACCAAATACATGGTGGTGAGCTGAACACATTACCCCAGTATCAATTATGATTCGTGAAATTGTTTAAATTTATCTTCAACCTTTTCCTTCGCATTTTCTTTAACTTTTCCCCCGATATTTTTCCTCTAGTTTCTTATGACGAAAAGGAAAAAGTTATATTAGGTATAAATTTATTTAGATACAGGTACGATTTTTTTCTGGCTCGTTTTTTATATAGGTTTGTTGAATAAATTTGCCAGATAATTGCCAAAACTCAAATTATCGGAGCTGATGTTTGTATTCACCATTAGCAAAGGTTCCAAAAAACATTTTGATTACAGTAAGACCTTGGTGGTCGTTGGCGCAAGGTACTTTCTGATGGAAAAAGGAAATTTCAGGATTCGTTGAGTGATATTATAACCAATGAAAATACAAAATGTTTGAATTTATTAAGAAATAACTATTTTAAGAACTTATTTGACTCGTTTCAACAAATTAAACAACAAAAACTATTTTGAGAAATCAGCGAAAACTCCTAAAATATATTTAATGATTCATAGCATGTTGCATTATTAATATGATTAAGAAATAACCTTTTTAAGAATTTATTTGACTCATTTCAACAAATTAAACTACAAAAAATATTTTGAAAAATCAGCGAAAACTACTAAAATATATTTAATAATTTATAACAAGTTGCATAATTAATATGATAGAAACTGGCTTTTTATTTATATTTTATTAAAAATCTTGGAAACTGATATTTTTATTCCTACCTAAACTTTAGGAATATATGAGTTAACTATGTCGGGGTTTTTGAAAACAGGAGTTTTTGCCGCTCTCAGACCAATGTGCGCCGTTTTAGAAAGTCGAAAAGGAAAAAAAAATTGTCGAAAACCAAATGATAACGAGTTTTATTTAAGATATTGAATAAAATATCTCAGAAAATAAAAATCGGACCTGCATACTGTAAGCGAGGAAAATAAATGTAAATTTATAAGTGTCAAATATTGGAGATTAGAAAGGGATTTATAAATAAGTAGATGGTGAAGACATGCATTAGATCTGGCAACACTGTTATTGCTTATTGAAGCTCTAATTAGTTTTCATCTCCTAATATTCACTTATTTTAACTTATCCCAATATTTTAAATAGTTCATTATTTTTAATTTTTTTTCTTTTTATTATTTTTGTTGAAATATGCCTAAATGTTTTTATCAGTTGGTGTAGTTTAGTTTATGACATTCTGTATATAATAAAAATAAATAAATATAATGTACAATATTATTTTTATTTAATAATTTTATTTAGAATGATTTATAAATTAAATCATTAATTTCTTACCTTATCTAAATATATTTATACGTATATTAAAATATTTTTATACTGGAACGATACTATTAATACATAATCTGGCCACTGTGCCATATTATAGACAATTTAAAAAAATTGAATCTTTTATGGGTATTTTTATTTTAATTATTTTATTTTTTATCTATTACTATCTTTATCTTTATAGTAACTAAGCATTAAAATTAGTGGAAAAAATTAGTTTGAGGACACATTTAGAATTTTTTAATTAATTTTTTTACCTAACTTCTAGTGTAATGAGCTAATAACAAGATGTTCCCATAGCCAACATCCTTAATTGTAACATTCGTTATTTCAAGCATTGCAACTGAATTAAAATATTCAAAAATATATTTTGATAAAAAAAAAAACCGACCACGCAAATAACTCTATCCGTCTTAAATGAGGAAAAGTGATGTATAACTTCATAAAAATAGAAGTGGGTTGTTAGTGTCTATGGATATTTAAACTTCATGAAGTATGAAAATATTCGTGTAACTTCTACACTCGAATTAAATTCTAAACTTTTCTCACAATACTTAATTTATCTTCTGGCATAGGAGCAAACTTTTCATTCCGATTGGGGGGCATTGTACCCTCTACCCTCTTCTCCCAAAAAAGTCTTGGGAAATTCTTATATTTATAGAAATAATAATTGATAATTAACATAACCAACATAATTATTGTAAAACGAACAATATAATACTAAAAACATTTTTTTCTTTAATCTTTACATTTTAATCTGCAGCTGCCGACATCTGTTGACAATCAGCTGATGGTCTGATAAAAGTAATGAAACTGACATGTCAGGCATGGGGAAGGATAGCATCCATAGATATCCCTAATTCTAAGGTTCAAGAAAATGTTTCTGAAAATACTCCTAGCCACGAAGCCTTTGAAATTGTTACTGAAAATATTACTAAACCAATTTCTAGAAAATTCAAATTATGGGTTCGTAAAAAAAAAAATGAAATTAATATATTGAATTAGAGCGAAAGAAATGAAAAAAAAAAGTAA